AGGCAAGAATAATCAGGGAAGCTTCTAACATAACTGTGACCAGTTAGGCAGTGCGTAACACCAGAGGTATTAAGGTATTAGCTCTAAGCCCTAGATAAGTTAATACGTAGGATAGTAAGTGGCCTTTTTCTATAGTAAGGTAATTGTAGAAACTGATATTATTATAGAAGAGAAACTATCCTAGGTAGTATAAGCGCTCGAGGTTATACTAAAGTAGTTTTAGGTAGCCGAGCCTAAACTTAAGGGGTAAATTTAGCCTGAGGAGAGTGTTAGAAAGAGTCTCTAGGTGATTAAGCGTCTAAATTCTAAGAATAGTGGCTTACTCCTAGGCTATAATAGAGATAGGGTAAGATAGTTTTAAGTGCTCTATATGCTAATAAGTTATATCAGGATTTGTATTAAATATCTATATATAGAAATTGAATAGACGCTTAATAAAAAAGTAGTGCGGAATATCTAGCATAGGAATAGGATCATAGATAGACCTCCGAAATAAAAATAGAGTAATCTTCTATAAATTGAAATATTTTGGATAGGTGATTTCTTCCTCGCCTCTGTACTTAATGTAGCCGACGAGTATATCACTGTCGGCCTCTTATTGCTCCTACCTTTTATTTACGGAGAATCCTATACCAAAGAAGCATTAGATAACAAAACCCTGGGTATATTGAGCTTCCTTAAGATATATTTTGTAGAAACTATTATTATCATCCCCCAATAGCCCAGTCAGTGGCTTAGGAGAGGATTATACTACCTTAGGGTGGCACTCAGTATCCCAGCACCGGATCACTTATTTGATAGTTTTATGTTGCGCCTAACATAACACATACGACCATAGGGTGTGGAAAACAGGGCTTCCCGTCCGCTCAGCCGTACTTAAGCCACACGCCGGTGAGTTAGTAGTTGGGTGGGTGACCACCAGCGAATCCTCACTGTTGTATGTTTTTGTTTTTTTGGTAATTGCATGCAGGTTAGTGGCCTTTTGATTACCAAAGTTTTTGCATGATGATTCGCCAAGTATCTAACTGGCCATTTCATTTTTGTACCTAATTTTCAAACCCTCTTTAACATTATTTGTGAAGGGAGCGGTTAGTTGACGATTTTGATCATCGCTGAACTTGGCATAGAACAACGTTGAACAAACCTTCACAAAGCTTAAGAAGAACCGCCAAACAACCATTGTTCGGAGAGAAATGGGATGAATTGAGTTAGTAATAATGGCGGAATTGCCTACTCTGATTTTCAAGCGACATCCGTTTCTAGTTAATTTTTCATTTGTCAGGCTTTTGCGTAGTAGACCGTTGTTCGAACCACACGACTCCCGCTTATGAGATTCAGTAAGAATCGCATGGTTTCATTGGGTAGTACTACAACATGGATACTGGCTAACATTGTGTAGGATTATTACATAACCTGCCAAGCCCTCGCTTGCAACACTATGAATCCCCTTTCCCTGTGGCTTACAAAGCCTAGGCTGTTGCAATTCCTGAGGCCTGTGCTTGGCCCAAGCGCCGCTGAGCGGCTGCCTCAGGCACTAAGAGTATGCAAACCCTGCAAAACTCTCGGGAGCACACTAACCTTGGATGATAGACCCGTGACCGCCCTCAATGAGGGGAGCGTTGCCACGCGTACTGCCGCACTTAAAAAAAGATTCTCAAGTCATGAGTCACCATTCAAAAGGCGGTATCCTGTTTAAGAGGCGGTACCAGTGTACGTACCAAATTTTTTTGTCCTCTGACTTTGCGAACCCCGCCAATTCTCTCGACACGCCGGACCAAACACCGAAATTACGATCATCATGGCTCCTAACGTCGAGCAGGAAGCGCCTCACAACAGCTTTGACGTACGTACCATCAGTATTCTACGGAGAGCTAGAATGGCGAGCTTGGGAACTAATCTGTTCTCGCTCTCCGATCACCGCGCCTACAAACGCGTAAAGAATGGATTGGCTAACATTCAAATGTCTAGACTATCCTTGTTCTCGATTTTGGCGTATGTATCGGGAGCTTTCTTGCCAATCCGCCCCTCGTTCGGTCTCTTTCAGATTATGGAGCTTCAATCCTACTACCTGGCTCGTCAAACCTGTTGCAATGGCAAATGCAGTGATAGTGGAAAACGCTGACCCGTTGTTCAAGTCTCAAACAAGTCATCTTATCCTACGTCGGCTTCGGGCTCTCGGCGTCTTCGCTGAGCTGCTTCCTTGCACTACTAAGATCGCTGATCTGACATGGAAGCCCAAAGGAATTGTATTCTCTGGAGGTACAAAGTCATATCATGAATGCATGGTTTGTGCCGAGGTCTGACTGAGCTACTAGGCCCTGCTTCTGTCTACGATGAGGGCTCACCCCGTAAGGGTTTCGTCCCCCAAACGGTTATTTTTCATGCTTACATCTATTTGTGCAGATGTTGACCCCGCTGTTTTTGAGCTTGATGTGCCTATTTTGTGAGTGTGCATTCTGCCTATCCCTTCAGCTTGAACCTGGACTAACACGCGAGGTATAGGGGTATTTGCTATGGCTGCCAGGAGATCGCATGGAGAATCGACTCCAAGAACGTTGCCCGCGGAGAGACACGAGGTTTTTAACCCTTGGGAAACCATCTATAATCTATTTTGACACTTTCCTGGCAGAGTATGGTCACGCCGACGTCACGATCACCAAGGTCAATAGCAATGTCGACCGGCTTTTCGCTGGTCTAGGGGATGAGATTCCAGTGTTCATGTCCCACTTCGACAAGCTAGTTAGCTTGCCCACAGTAAGTGCCCTGGGATCATTCCTGGGGCTCTGTTATTGACTCTAACAGGGGTTTGTGGTCATTGGTGCGACCGAGAACTCGGAGTACGCCGGCATCGCCCATGAGGAGAAGCCTATCTTTGGTTTGTCTTCCACTTCAGCCGCCTTGTGAGGAGTTGAGCATGCTAACGCAAGGGAAATAGGTGTCCAGTTCCACCCTGAACTCGAACACGTTTGTTACCCTCGCCTCTTAAATTATAACTCCCTCTAATCTTCGGCTCTAGACACCCCGTGGAAGTGACATCCTCCGTAACTTTAGCGTTGATATCTGCGGAGCTGAACCGAATTGGAAAATGGGCGACTTCGCGGAGCTCGAGATCGCTCGCATCCGAGATCTTGTTGGTGAGCGAGCTCTCGTCCTAGGAGCCGTGTCTGGGGGAGTTGATAGCACTGTGGGAGCGGCCCTCATGCGCGAGGCCATTGGAGATCGCTTCAAAGCTATCCTCATCGACACCGGGTGTATGCGTCTCAATGAGTGCGAGGAGGTCAAGCTTACGCTCGGAAAGCACCTTGGCATTAATCTTACAGTTGTTGACGCTGGCGAACTGTTCTTGAGTCGTCTTGCCGGTGTTTCTGAACCGGAAAAAAAGCGAAAGATCATTGGATCAACTTGTGGGTACTCTCAGCCGTCTCGAGTTACTGACAGGGTGCTAACGGTATCGAAGTTATCGATCTGTTCGAGAAAGAGGCTATCAGGGTATGCTCGACCTTTTCTACTGGGTTTTCTTACTGGCTAACAAACTTGCAAGATCGAGAAAGAAGCGGAGAACACCCCCAACTCCGGGAAGGTGGAGTTCTTCCTCCAAGGGACATTATACCCCGACGTGTAAGTCTTCTTCAGCTAATTTCGAATTCCATACTAAAAGTGTTTTAGCATCGAATCTTTAAGCTTCCGCGGGCCTTCTGCTACTATCAAGAGTAAGCGAGTCAACAAATTCTTGGGAGCAGAATTCTACCCCGAAATCATACAAAAGCTAACATTAGATATAGCTCACCACAACGTTGGCGGGTTGCCTGAGGTAAGTAAAACCACTATTCCCCACGAACGTATCTTAACTAATCAGCATGTAGCGGATGATGAACGGCGTAAGTCGAAGTAGCCTGGTATCTTTTGATTCATTTACTAATCAACATGCCTCGTTTAGCAAGGTTTGCGTGTAAGTTTACCTTCTGTCTCTTCATAAATGCAGGGAGGCTAACAGGAACTCTCTTACAGCTGATTGAGCCTCTCAGACTTTTGTTCAAAGATGAAGTTAGGGTATGCTAATCCTGATAGGCTGAGTTCCACTTGCAATAATACTGAATTCTACAGGCAATCGGTCGAAAGCTCGGCATACACGAATCACTAGTAAACCGTCACCCCTTCCCTGGCCCTGGCATTGCCATTCGCATCCTCGGTGATGTCACCAAGGAGCGCGTGGAGATCGCCCGTAAGGCCGACCACATTTTCATCACCAAGATCAAGGAGGCAGGCCTTTACGACCAGGTATGTTCAGCGAGTCGCAAAAGCCCAGACGGATGCAAGCTAATCCTTCTGTTCTAGATCTCCCAAGCTTTTGCTGGTCTTGACACTAACCGTAGTGTTGGTGTTTTCGGTGATCAGCGAGTTTGGGGTTACATCGTGATTCTCCGTGCTGTCAGCACCAAAGATTTCATGAGCGCAGACGTGTTTGACTTCGATAATGCTTTCCTCAAGGTACGCTCGTCCATCCTCCCAATGGCCCAATCTCATTTAATTCTTGCACTTACTAACCTGTCCACCCCAGGATGTATCGCGCACTATCTGCAATCAGGTAGAAGGCGTGGCCCGTGTTGTCTATGATTTGTAAGTAGAAGTTATCCTCTCTATTGGTCTTGGGCCATGAGCTAACTTCGTCTTTCTAGAACCTCAAAGCCCCCTGGCACTATTGAGCTAGAGTAGGCGATAGAGCTGAGGCAAAAGATGGATCACATGTGTTACATAGAAGGCAAGGGAACGAAAATCAGATGACATGATTGAGACCAGAATGGTCATATGATCAAGGGGCAAATAAAGGGAAGGGAAACGCTGTCAACGCAGGAGGGGCACGGACCATAGTCATAACGATAGAAATTGAATTTTACGGCGTTCAAAGACTACCAGGAAGGCACGTAGAGTGAGAGGAGTGATGGTATCCATCATCATACTATAGGAAACCCCCTTGAGGGCCCCTGCTGGTAACTACGCGCCACCATTTCCCTTTCCCCCAGGCTCAGAGTCTATGTGTCTTACTTGCTTACAAACTGAACGCTTAGTCGTCAGATTCAGGGTGTAAATACTCAATTTGTCATGCCTAATTCTCAGGGATTGAATGCACAAATATACATCTTCCTCTCTCCCCAATTTCCGCACCAGAGACTACAACAATAAGCTTACCACCTTCATATAACTACCTTTTTCTTACTTCTCTCTCACTAGTACCATTCTACTTGTTGAGTTTTTTGTCTCATGACTTCGCTTCTTCAACTCTCTAATCTGATTTCTCATCTTCGCCATACATTTCGACGTCCATCCACCAGGCAAATCTCTCTTGATAATACTCTTTCGTATTCAAGCTCAAATCAGAATGGCTAGGTAAAGCATTTCCTATCATTCATTAAGGTGATACAGTAGTCAACTCTGCTCTGTGATATAACCGAAATCGGACCCTAGAAACTAAGATATTTGAATTCGCCGGGGCTTAATCTAATCGATCTTTTTCATGATCTTACTAAGCCTTTGCCTTTGTCTAAAATCACTTTAGAATGTGGTGATGCATGGATTTGCATAGAATGAGAAGCTTTGTTTCCATCAATCGGGCTTAGTTTTTCATTTACAGCACACTGCATGTGCCTAAAGCGGTCTAGCTTCAGGTGAAAGTTCAGGCATACAGGTATCAATATGACGAGAAAGACCCTACTATGGCCCTTCTTACCTCTAGTATCTTTTATACTCATCGCTGAAAAAAAGGGTACCTCCTAATTATCCTACATTCATGACTTCCGATTTCTACCCCACCGACTACTAGGCGTATGGAGGCGCGGATTAGGATGTTATCTGTGGAACACAGCACAGCCCATTTGACCACTAGACCATAACAAGGACCAAGGTTCTTATCTAGGGCCACATTCTTTGTTCGAAATTGTCCATGCGGATGAATATAATTATATACGATCCCCCATGTAGTCAAAATGTTTTGTGCACTTAGTTTCTCAAAAAGGTTGATCGGGCCTAGTGTGTCACTCAATCGCTTCACCATATTTTGTCAGTGTGAAGGGTGCCCTGTGTTTCACTTTTATTTCTTTGTTCATTTTTCAACCTCTGCAGAAGAGAAGGCCGATATCGCGAGCAGGCTACTCATGATTATGGTCCCTGATGGAGAGATAAAACACACTATTAGACTATTGGGCACATTTCTAATATTGCGACATGATGGCGTTTTGCTAATAACGTGCTTCTAGATGAATATCACTCTAAGCCCCATCTTTCCCCGCAGCTATAAATTCAAACAGTAATCCCATTTTCCCCCGCTCATTCCCACGAACAAAATGGGTAGCATAACAACAACGACTTTCCAAGATCCTTTTCAAGGCATCCCAGCTGCCCGAGCACCAGGTAAATGATACAGATAACACATTAATGAACCCAAATTAAGAAAGCATTTTTAGATGGCCTTGCAGCTCTCATTTGGAAGTTCCTAGCGGATACTGATCCCAACAGAACTGATCTCCTCGTGGGCGTGTACAAAACGGAGGAAGGGAAAGCGTACGTGTTGCCAAGTGTGAAAGAGGTACGTATTACTTTCCCAAGTTAACCACTGTACGCCCAACGTACATCACTAATTTTCAATTATCCATATCCCAGGCAAAGAAAAGAATTTTTAATGATCCTGAGTGGCATCATGAATATCGTTCTTCCGCTGTGGGTTCCCAGCTTTATAGGGAATTAAGTGCCAGTCTACTTTTTGGAGCAGATCATCGTCTTTTGAAGGAAAAAAGGTAAGAGAAGACTGGCATGCTCTTGAACGAATCGATCTAGAGCTGACTATGCAACTTAGAATAGTTTCCGCCCAGACTCTCGGCGCAAGTGGCGGATGTCACGTCGGAGCAGTCTTTTTGAAAAGTAATTATGGGCCGTGGAAGGAGAATGTGAACGCTGAAATTTTCCTGCCCAGCGATACTTGGTGTAAGTCGCCATTTACACACACATGCCCACGCAATTCTGACTGGGTCCTAGTGAATCATCCTTTCGTCTTCCAGTCTGCGGGAATCAAGCCCAGCATTATTCCATATTTTAGCAGCAAGACAAACACCGTTGATTTTCAGAATTTTTCAGAGGCCGTCAAGTCTTTGCCAACTCAATCGGTGGTTCTTCTCCAGTCTGGAGCTCAGAACCCCACTGGATGTGATCCATCGCCAGACCAGTGGCGAGAGCTAGCCTCAATTTTCTTGGAGCGCGGTCATTTAGCATTCTTCGATGCTGCATATCCTGGTTTTGCCTCGGGAGACATTGACACAGATCTTGAAGGTGTTCGTTTGTTTGCCGAGCGAGAGATCCCGCTTGTTTTCGTCTCAACATACGGAAAGTCCTTTGGGCTTTACAGCGAGCGCGTTGGGGTTGTATCAATTCTTGTTCCGAACGAGGAAACAGGAAAGAGAGTAGAAGCGCAACTGAGTCTCCTCGCACGCGCCGAGTCCGGCGCGCCACCCGATTTCGGATCCAAGATTGTTGAGACGGTACTGTCAGATGAGGCTTTGAAAAGCCAGTGGCGACAGGAAGTGCGTGATATGGCGAACCAGCTCAAGCACCGTCGAGCTACGCTAAGGGAAATCTTGGAGAAATTGGAAACACCAGGTAGCTGGCGGCATATTACTGAGCAGAACGGAATGTTTTCGTATGTGATGCCAATATCGGACTCGGAGAGACTCACCATGCTGACCTTCTTTAGATATGTTGGACTGTCTGTGGAGCAAGTCACTCTCCTCAGAGAGAAGCACCATGTTTATCTTCAGGACTCTGGGAGAATTTCTATCGCGTATGTTTGATCGGTGTAGTTTGGGAACAAGGGCTAGGCTAACATGTTTCTTTCCTTTAGTGGGCTCAACAACTTCAATATCGAATACACGGCTCGCAGTATCAGCGATGTCGTGAAAGCTACAGTCTAAATGGACTTCAATGGGGGTGTCCTATCTATTTAACCAAATAGACGAAGAAATGTGATTTGAGAGCATTGTCTTCAGTTGGTAATTTGTCAAAGTCTCAGGCACTGCACTGCAATGTCGAACCCTCGTTTAAAATCTCTGCGGTTTATCGTAAGAGGGCCAAATCGTGCAAAATGCGGATCTATGAATAACAACTACTAATTTCCTGTTCTAAGAACGTAGCGTAGCTTTCACAATTTTCATGCTAATCACAATTTTCCACACTTGACATTTTGTCGAAAGAGTCCTTGTATGGCCTGCATGTCTCCTGTGACTTCCATGTCTGGCATGTTCAGTTCAGATCCTTGGTTTCGAGGACTTGCATCCGCAGCCGCAACAGAAGAGGCGTGCAGTTTGTCTCAGTCCCTGCATGTATGAACTTGTTTGAAACTGTGCTGTACCGAAAAATCTTTCAGTGGTTTTCTTGTGATGTTAATACAAAGGAGGTCAAAGAGGAACGGAGAGAGAGAGAGCTAACTACTACAAATGTGGCAAATAGAGTCTGTCACCATATAATGCCTTTTCGTTCGGGCATCCACCTTACTAGAGACATGAGTGTAATATCTGCACTGCATTGAGAGATCTATAGATGACCCAAATAGTGGTCTTTCTAAATGCCAAACGTCGGGCAGATATAAAAGTTGATCTGGAGATTTTTCGAGAAAGTTGTGTACATATCCACATATCAGATGGCAAGGAATTGTCCGATTTCAACTTAAACAACAAGGAAGTCGCTATGGACTTCGGCATTTCTATTCTTCCAGACCTATAGCTCAACAGGTGATGAGGTCTCCATCGCTCCTTCTCCATACTTTACCTTGTTTTTCCGGATTTTTTCCAGAGCAGCTGTCGCAGCACAAAGCTTTCACTCCCAATTCAAAGCCCACAGGCAATCCCATCGATCAGATCTTCATTCTTTTTTTTTATCAATACTTCATCTTCATACAGTCATTCTGAACCCTTATTTTGTCAATTTCATCGCCAAAATGGGTCCCATTGGCTTTACCGAGCCAAGCCTTCTCGAACTTGTTCCAACTCTCGTCGGCGAGTCCAATTTCTCTACGTGGACTACTTCACTCAAGTGGACCCTGGATTCACGCGATCCTCAATATTACGAACTTCTCACTGGTGTGTGGAGCGAGCCCAGTGCAGTCCATCCCACACAGCCCACCCCAACTGAAGTTGAGGCTCGGACTCAGTGGGATAACGCCAGCCGTTACCTCCTGCCGCTACTCAACGCTACTGTTCACCAGACAGTCAGAATTTACATTCTGGACGCGAACAACGCACGTACCGCGTACGCCAACCTCCACCGTGCCTTCGCAGCCCGGTCTTATGAAGCGGGCTTTGCCAATTTTCTCAAGTTTATGAACACCACGTACACTTCCAACAAGCCTCAAGCTTTCGTCAACGAATGGCGTATCGCTCTCAGTGACCTCCAAGAGTGCAATTCGACAAAGCTTACGCCTCTTCTCATCTTTTACCATTTTCTGAATGCCGTCAGCGCCAACCCAGCCGCGCATTTATGGCTCGACAACTTCCTCAATTCGAAAGTTTCTACCGACACAACTATCGAAGCAACATTTGCAGACTTCGTTGTTTTTGAGGATCATCGTCTCAACGCTCTTAATCAAGCTCACTCCTTTAGCATGTCTAAAGTGAATCATCTCCCTTTCTTTTGTCGGTATCATAATCGCCAAGCCGGTCACTCCAGCGAGCACTGCTTTCGCAACCCGATTAACCAAGTCCCTTTGAAGAAAGTGACTTTGGCTCCTGCTCCGGCTACAGCTCAACGTACAGTCCCTGAAGACCTGCTTGCAGAATAGAACAGCATCTGTACAAACTGGGGGCTTCATTTCTTGAAGTTTCTCACAATTCTTGCTCATGGGGAGGTCTTTGAAGTAGGTCGCCTGGTCAAAGGTTAGTTTTAGCAAGAATAAGCTGTTCTCACACGTTTTATGCACCTTTTTCTGGTGAGCATCTCACCACATGGAAATACGAAATATCTTCAATGTGAAAGGCATCCATAGGTCACGCCCATGGCGTATGCTGAATAATTTTATCAACCCCCTGCTTGCCGCAAATTGATCCATGGTAAATCCTTAGCAGTAGTAAATCGTCTAGCCGACAGTGACACCATTCAAGATTTCTTAAATTCTCATATATGCAATTACAACAAGGAAAGGAACGACAAAGGTAGTTGCCAGGACAGATCGGAGACTTCACACATGATTCGACAAATCCCCTTTATTCAATGAATCATTCCCAACCCCAACAGTCCGCAGCCACGCCGGCGCTGTCGAATAGACACCGAGGATATCCGAATTAAAACCATCAAAAATGCCCCTGGACCAAATTTGAACGGCACCCTGGAGAGCGTCCTCGCTGAAACCTATGCCAGACCCCGGAAACTCAATATTGCTTTATCGAATGAATGAAGATGCAAGGAAATCTCTTTCTAGGACCAGATTTGCATCCAACTCTACCGCCACCTTTGGTAGAATGAACTCGCTCCAGTCTGTGGCATTCCACAAATATGACTGGAAGACCTTCTTGCTCCAATTACCACACTTCTGGGAGTTGTTATCGGTGGTAAAAAGCCAGGATCCGTCCCAGTCAAAGGGGCGTAGGAGGTCCTACATCCGCCGCCCCCCTGAAAGGGTAGATAAAGAATTCGGATTACTCGTTGCGGTCATATTGGAGTATCTGGAAATGGATTTATTCTCCTGTTTTTTCTAGATGAGTCTAGTCAAGTTAGGATTGTATATGTGAAAAATGGATCAGGGCCCGGACTATGTCTTGGCAAAGCGTGGACTCTGTCTTGGCAGTCGTATCGGAGCGGGAACGACAACAAAACAACGGGAACGACAACAAGACAAAAATGGCAAAAAGATCTGGACTCGCGGGGAATCGAACCCCGGACCACTCCCATGCTAAGGGAGTATTATACCACTAAACCACAAGCCCAGTTGATTGACAAACAGGATCTAGAAGTGCAATATAAATAGAACCAAGAACTGGAGCACCTTTTACTTCCCTCTACCCTCCATCATCAAACCGTCCTTTGTAGAAGTTTTTCTGCCTAATTATCCATTTAAATTGAGAGCCTAGTGCACTTTTCTTGTAAGGACGAAGAACTTAATTCGTTTCCTTGGTATGAATCAAAACGTATTGTGACTCCAGACCGATATATATCTTCGCTGGGGGGAGGGAGATCAAAGAGAAGTCCGAATTTGGCGTCGTGTGGATAGTGCTTACCCGTGAATTCGACAAAAGACGTCTTATTTTCCAATAAGATGGTCTCTGCTGTCCTTCGAAGTTATATTAAGTATGCTCAAATCCTCTGTAATCTGTGTTTTTAACTAATCTGTTGCTCAACTTGAGTGGTGGTCCGAGACAGATTGAAGCTCCGAGCGCGCGCTCTGGCCAGTGCTACGGATTGCATCGGTGTCGGCTGATAACTCTCTGAGAGAGAAGAAACAATGCGAGCGGCCGATGCAAAGTCTTGACTCGGAACCAGCACTTTCTGCAACGATAGTGCGACATGCCTGACTCGATTTTCCGGTATTCGTCTTGGATAGAATTAAAAAAAAGGCCTCACTCAGTCGCCGGTGCCATTTGATACCATACCGTATTTCTAGACGATTACAGCACAGACTGAAATGGAATTGAAGATGACTGAGTTAGAATAGGCATGGTGGTTATGACAAAGATTGTTGGGAAATGAAGAAGGAAAGTACAAGGAGCCCTGGAGTTGGCCAGTGGTTCCCATGTGTTTGCCTCCCATTTCGAATTGCCACTACGATCACTCCTGCTTTCCAACATAACCATTCTCTCCTTCTTTACCACAGGATCACCCGAGCCGACGTAACCACAAGATCGACCCTTTTTTCTATTCAAGAAGAGGGCAAACGAAGTAAAGCCTCCATGCTCTTTGCATCCCAACCGGCGATCAATCAATTTTTCCCACTTGGACCACAAACGCTTTGGACAACGTTTCGAAACACCAACCTCAAATCCTCGCGGTGATAATGATCCATCTCGATAGAGATTGGAGAAGCAGTGTAGTAGACTGCTTCCTGGAAGACATGACAGCCATTAGACACGAAAATGAACTGATACAAGCCAGATCAAGTCTTCAAATGACGTCACAATTCGAAGGTGGGACTCACTTTGATACATCCTACAGGTGGTAGACATCGTGTAAGATTAATGGCACCATTCCCGTCAGTTGCCAAAAGTACTGTGATTGGGCCTTTCTTTCACTGCTTTTGAAGATTTTGAAACGGCAGTGGTGCCCTACAGTCCAGTGCCATTAATCAAATAACCCATCCCGCCCCCAGTAAGCTCAGGGCCATAGGGGAATCAAAGGCCCCCAATGGGAAAGCACAACTTCGAGGACTGTGGGGAAAATGAAGACAGTATGCGTGAACTATTAGCATACCCCTTTGTGCACGTTCTAGACCTTTGGACTATCTATGGGTGATTGAAGACCATGGCCAGAAAACTTTCTTGAGATATGTCTCTCGCCGGAGATACCTGGGGAGTTGAGGAATCCTTTACGATCGATTTCACGATACCCTAGATGCGGGTAGGGAGCAAGTCCACTGGGGAGGCACCGTCACCAAATTAGTGTTCGTCTATATTAGCTTGTCAAGCAGTTCATCCTCATACCTCGCATAATACTCCATGGCAATAGTGCGATACGAAATCCTAATAGTCAATTATGGAGAGTTCCATACTAATATTCTCTAAGATTACAAATTAATACAATGTGAACGTGGAAAAATCTTCAGAATCCGCATGTGTCGCATTCACTACTCGTCGTTATTGTGTTCCTAATCATCCTCACTTTGGCAATTTTAATCCCCATCATGTGGTTCATTCTCAGGAAATAATGCCTCGAACCAGGCTACTGCCGCATCCTGGCCGCCCTGGCTGATACGACCCGAGGTGTTTCGGGCGACCATCACACCATGGGTGCGGAGGTGTGTGCGGAGGGCTCTGGTGTTAGAGAGTGGGACCTTTTTCAAATTGATTAGCATTAGTCAATATAGTGTTTGTGTGTGAGATGTGTTGGTGGACTGACACGGCCATAATCGCAGCCGGGTATACGGCAGAAGACTTCGCCATAACGCACGATGATTTCCCCACTTGTCATCTATTGAAATGTTGATTTCATTCATTAGCTAGAGTTTGATACGTGGAGAGGGTGTGTCGAGGTTGGTTCAAGTGTCCCAGTTGATATGTTCTCACCTGCTCGTAGGGGGGAAGGCTCAGTTCCCCCGCAGCTCCCTTTTGGAGGTAACGGCAATAGGCCGCACAAGAATGGAGAAATATAGGTCCCACTGGTTGGGACATGATGACTGTCTGATGATGTACCCGTTGGTTGTGGCTGGTTTGGCTCGATGGTCCGGTTGTTGTGAGAAGATATGTTTTGAGGATTGGTTTGAGGGAAGAACATAGGGAAAGATGGATGAAATTTCGTAGGTATTTGATCACCCTAGGTGATATAGGTGACCGGCAAGTTGCGAGTATATTGTTTTCCCTGTGTCTCACCAATTCCTGAGTGGAATTTGCCTAGAATTTCTTTGTAGGCTTCTTTTGGTGTTTTGACTTCTTAATCTTGATTTAAATGCCCCAATATTTGTCAGGATTGGAGAATTCGAACAGCTCAATTGGCGGACATCCAAATGATTTAAATTCTCTTCTTCATCTAAGATCAGACGCTGTGGCTTCAGATTTAGAATTCTCCGACTATAGAATTGGATCCCCCTCACTTCGGATTCACTACCGACTTAGCCCAATCGCTCTTGGTTATTTCCCGAACTGATGAAATGAGGTGGCATTGCCAGAGGTTTTATATCCAGCCGGCACTGACAGCAAGTTCGATCTCGGCGTACGTGGGCTTGGATTTGAGTTACATCACACTGTAAACCTCTGCTCTTCATTTCCCTAGAAATCAACACCCTCCCCTTCACAAAGATAGGCCTATTTCTCTCTTATTTAACCCCCTTATGTCTTGTCCTGCCTGATGTATTGTTGGATGCCTCAGGCATCACATGTAGGATAGACCAACTAGATAGTCTTCCTTCCACTCTCACCTTCTCTCTCTACCCGTCCATCCAAATGAATACTGTTTAACCTGCATACATACTATCATTGTATTTGAATCATGTATTTGAGTGCCTTTAAGAGATTTTCAAATGCCCTCCGTAGAAACTCCTGGGTGGGCAAGGTTCTTAAAATTCGCACTGGCGATTTTAGGCTTGTGCCTACTAGTCTGTGATCATGCTTTAACATCTCTCGAACGTTTTGATAATCGGCAAATTGCTGGTGTAAATCAATAGATATAAGATGTAATAGGCGTAGGAAATGAAGCCACGATGTGAATTTTTCCAAAATCACTTAGTTTGCATTCTTCTCTGCATGGACGACATCCTGACATTTTCCGTCATTGGTATCCTGATCCGCTTCCTCCCCACCGACAAAGAGGGGTTTGTACCAGGTGACGACCTCCTTAGTGGTCCGACCCGACGGGCTCCAGGCGACCATGACTCCATGGAGGCGGAGGTGTGCACGCAAATATCTGGTCTCCACTAAAGGAATCTAAAATTTATAGATTGGCGATCACTTGATATAGTAGTAGGACTTCTTCGTAGACCCACTCGACCGTTATCGCAGCCAGGGATAAGACAGAATGCCTCGCCGGGGTATATAATAAGCTCCCCATTTGGCGTCTATTTTAAATTTTCATTTCAGCGATTATTTGTGGAGGTTTGCTAAGTATCTAAATCAAAATAGGCTTACCTGCTCGTAACCTGCGAGACTGAGGTCTCCAGTTACGCCGGTCGTCTAGGAGGTATTGTTGATAGGCTGCGCGGGCAGCTAGGAAGATCGTGCCTGGCTGATGGGGAATATCAAAATGACGATGTACTCGAATGGATTGTAAGGCTAATGGTGGGGTGGGTGGGTGGATGGTATGGTTGGATAGGGTCAAAGATGAGTCTTTTCACGAAGGGGAGTTATTGGGGGTGAGTCTGGTGTAAGAGAGAACCGAACCGAACAAATAGGGGAGAGGAACTAGAGGAATTTTCTTCAAGGTGACTTGTGATTTCCTGAATTTGAGTGCTTTCCCTGGCTCAATATTAAGCACCTATAGATATAGTCGCCTAAGAAGAGTTGTAGGCCCTCGTTGATACTGGCGAACAAGGCTAAATTGACTTCCAAATCAGGATATCAAAGCCAAAAATTCCATCTTGAAGGTCACTAGTCCACAAGAAGGCAGGCACAATAGACCGGACCATGTTGCAATAGTGAGCCCTTAATGGACTTTTTAGAGCAGTTTGTGGATAGAAAGAAATTTGCATATTGTCACAAGGGAGGTTGTTAGGATCTGGAGTGGGAGAAAAAAAAAGCAGAGAGAGAATAAACCTTAGGAGGGAGCTTGATGATATATGACCACCATCGAGTCCTCTTTAGCATCTTCTTCCCTCTCTAACCTCACTATGTTTAGGACAGTTAGTGTTGCCTGGTGAATATCTATACTCCCCCTTTAAATGGCGAAGAAAAAAGTCTAAGTATAGCTTCCATATGGGGTAAAAACCGTCAGTCTTGCAAGGGCCACGTGAATTTGCTTGGAACTCAGGTCAGCTACTTAATTTATCAAACAAAGAGAATCTGGGTAGTTGCCTTTCAGACCTTTCGCCATGTTAGGAGTTCAAGTCTATGTCAAGACTGAATATAGCTAATGCCATGTTAACCGTGCTACGGTATCATCTTAATCCTATGTTTTGAAATATCTCACAATGGTCTCCGAGTTCTCCCATTTGGAACTTACCAATGACTCGGTCCAATTTGACTCGGTGATTGTTTTAGCTGGTATTATCAACTAGGATATATTACTCCTTCTGTGGCCTAGATATTTTCATCTGCATTGTCAGAGTGTTGCGAGGGACGGGGACGTGCATGCGATCATCTTCCTCGTAGATTCCCTTTGAAGCTCGCAGCATTCCCTCACAATTAACACGGGCCTTTTTTCTTTATCTTTGGATTCGATCAATTTGAAATAGAGATATACGTAGCTCTAGTGATAGCTCGCCTCTCTGCCCGCCGCGGAAGGGAGCTGGTCAGCCCTACATCTGCCGAGGTATACACATAATGCAAGATCTGAATTGTGACCTGCACAAAAACTCTTTCAAAGTACATACGTAGACTCAGAACTATCGTTTACAGGTTATAGGTGTGAGCCTGAACCTCGATGCTAGACACAGTCCAAGTCTTTCCTTCGTCGGCTGTCTTTAGACCAGAAGAAATGACCTCCTCGATAGCCAGGGTGTCGCCGAATGAAGGGTCGGCTGCGTCGAGGATAATTGTGGTGTCAAGGTATTCTATGATAGTTAGTATTTATTTCATGACTTGCATATGGAAACGCCAACTCACCATGTGCCGCAGTAGTGCTATCGCAGGCATCATCCTGGCATTCGACAGCGGTACCCCATCCCTGTGCCTGGCCAGAATCTTGAAGGATTGTTAGTCAGAGACTGGGCCTACAATTATGCCGGGGCCTTACTGGTTGATAGAGTTGACACAACTTCTCCATTGATGTAGACTGTCTGGTCAAAATTGCCGGTCTCATCATTGTATTTGTCTAGGAAATGATTAGCTTGCGTGTATAATTCACAGTAAATTCGAACTCACAGTGCATTGTAATCTCATCGCCAGCATTGGCCGGAACCTGCTTTCCACCCAGCTGGGTTCCTTGAAGGGTACTTGCCCATGTGCACCATTGTCCAGCTGTTGCTCCACAGTTTCTGCAATAGTCAGTCATACAGTCTGTACAAGGTCATTTGTTCTTCCGTCACTCACGCGGCAGGATCAGAGAAAGAAACGGCAAGAGCCTGAATCAAATCACCACCGCTTGTTCCCATACCGGGCCACAGAGCAAGACGGTCCGTCTGTGGGCTCGAGGTCTCAGGAAGGACAAGTGTCGTGTTTGCTTCACGGATCCATGACGAGGTTGGGCCGAGGGAGAAGTGTGGACCGAATCCGATCTTGTCTAAGGCACTGACAAGGCCAAGTACGGAGAAGATGGCAAGGTTCCGGAGAGACATGGTGAGCATCCGATGTTGATCGAGTGTCGGAGAAACAATTGTTGGGTGAGGAGATCAGCTATATAAGTTCAAATCTTCACGAGAATGGAAGGGTCTTTTAGTGACCCAAATTAAGGAGAATCATTCCATTCCACCAATCTACAAGTTCTCCGTTTCATACGATCAAGATCCTGCCGTGCCTTCAAGACATGGAAGAAATTAGGTTCAGAAGTTTCAAATGAGCCGTCATTGAAACCAACTAACGTTGTGGGTCCGGAATCCGGAAAGGGGAATCCGAAACAGTACGTGAGTCCAGTCTTGTTACATGCATTCTTTACGGGGTACGGGGTACTTCGTAGATAAATCCAATTTGGTTTCTAGAAATTATACTACACGGGAGCGGTTGTAGAATAAGTTTACTACGAGACGCGAGGCCAACCTAACAATTATTTAGACCCTTTTACGAATTTGTTCAGGTGTGTAGGGATGTTATCCATGTGTCCAATAGATGGCCAAGCGTTATCCCTAAGGTATATTACTACGGAGTACTCCGTACTCCGTATAGCTACACAAGCTTGTTGCATGACCTACTTTTAGTTAAAGGGGTGCAGCCTTTGAATTCAAATATGAGGAGTTTCTCCACTTTTCTCAACGACAGCTCGGGTCCCTATAGGATTATTGGAATTTATTTCCCCCGTCACAACAACTTCGGGTAAGGGGCTTCTTACCCCAGCCTCGTCCTAGTCTGTGGAGCGCTATTTAGCGGCCAAAACGAACCTCGATAGCCTTTGGATTCTAGAAATTTAGATTTACCCGGTACTCTGGCACCTATTTTTAACGCTATCACTGTAAATTATGCATTTGCTTAGACCGACTTTCTTTCTGTGTAAGTAACGATGATCTAATTTCTCGCCATAGCAACATCATTCGTCTTGAACACGCCAAATTGCTTCCAAGGCCGTGATGAGTCATGACAAATCGCGGTGATCATGACTGGTGATCATGACTAATACTTCCGGACAGAATCATCTCATTCGTCGCATCCAACATGACTATCACCAGCACCGCACTCCTAGCTCTAGATTTCAATACTCTCCAAAGCCTAAATGTTTCGGATACTCCGTGGTATTACAAAATATATAACTTGAGCGTCTGCACTCTCCTCGCTCGTTTCAAAAATCCGTGCATCTACATCCCAGTTCAAACGTTCTTCGTGGGATGTGGTGAAAAGCTCCACACTCTTTGTGACTGGGCAGATGGACGTTCGAGATGATGTTGCCCCAGAATTAAAGTACGACCCGATTGAAGTTGATCTTATCGAGTTACTCATCTAGGAGGCCTTTAACGGCGTCAACTATATCTTCATTACCGCGCACACAAGCAGAAGGATGATCCTACGAGTCAGTTCTTTGCCCTTACTGCCATTTGGTGCTGATGATTGAGAAGTTTGGAGGCTCGGGGGTTCGGAATGTTGTGACCTGCTGCCCTACTCGTTGAACAACAATAGGCAACTCAGCCCGAAATCGTCTTCAAGCAAGATTTGTGAACTTAAACCATGACACACACGCGATCAGTGGGTGTAGGGAACAACGGCCATAAGCAGCTAGTGGACCATGATCATGACTGGAAGTAATATCGGCAGGGAGGTGGGCATGTAGGGTCTGTATTATTGGACAGAGTGGTTTGTCATGACTAGGTCTGTGGCTGAAGTACGGTCGAGCGGATGTTCAAAGGGCTGTCTTTGTCAGTCGTTTTTGATCTTTTCGGCATCTCCTGGTAATCACCTTATTTACGACTGATAAGATGTTAACGTTCAGTCAGATAGATGCAGATGCATTTGAGAACCCCAAGAAAAACAACGGTCGGAAAAGACCCCGCTTTCGAGAGCCCGTGGCATGTAACCACTGCGATCGCAAGGCACCATACAAACCGTGCCAAGATCGTGGATTGGGCACACAATGCATTTATTCCTGTTCGAAAAGTCTAGCAGTCTCAGAATCTGCCATAATTGTATCCCCTCGAAGCACAGGCATCGATCTATATGCCTTTGAGCAGCTGACCCCCCCCCAATCTCCCGACAGCGAGACCCTTGATCCACGATCGGGGTTGCCCCACAACCTGACTACCGTCAGTCATGCCAATAGTGCCTTTAATAGGTCGAACTTCAAAACAAGGCTGATCAGCGGCACTCATTGGATGGCCCCTGGCAATGATTTGCCCATAATAGGGGCCATGCTGGAGAAGACTGTTGATTTTCAACCGACGTGGAGAACTTTCACCGAAGTAAAGTCTCTCCTTCGAGTCGAAAATTCGGTACCAAACGGGGCGAAGGGAGATTATAAGAAGCGACTAGATCTCCTTCCCGATCGATCGACCTGCGAAAAGTGGATCAGGCGATTTTGTGAAACCTATGGTAGAATATACCATGTGATCGACTACAACTGCCTGATCACCGAACTGGAGGAAGTTTTGATGGCATGCGTCGACGCTAATGAGGTGCATGTGCTCAAGATTTTGTTGGTCATTGCGATTGCTATGCAGAACGACCATGCGGGCGTCTACTACTGGAGGAAGCGGAGAGCCGTATTCATACATCGACTCGATTCCAAAAACCTTGTATCGGTGTCGTGCAGGCCTCATTACTGTTGATCACCATGAAGACCATAACTGCCTCTGACACTGACAAGGCACATAGCCTCCTAAGTATCATGGGGCTTTCTACGCAAATGGCTTTGAGCATGGGCTTACATAGGGATCTGGCCCTATTCCCCGGCGTCACTCCTTACTATGCAGAAGTCCGGAAAAGATCATGGGCGTGCTTATTTCGATTGAACCTCGACTATTCCATCCGGAGTGGTTCCCACTTTGGTATTCGATTAGAAGATGTGGACTGCCCTCTCCCGAGCGCTATCGACCTCCTCACCCTTGACCCGGGACTGATGATGGAGCCAGGTACCTTCTTAAACCAGGCCCAGGAAGCAACGGACCAGGCTTTCAGTATCGCCGCAATGAAACTTGCCATAGTGAGAGCTCCCTTACACCAGCGACTTTGCTCCACGACCCCTGGATTATCAAGCGAGGTACGGGATCGAATGCGCGTCTCCTTCCAAAAGATCCTGCGTGAGTTGCTTCCAAATCTGCAAGAGGGAGCCTCATCATGCAGTGCAATTGAGAAGTTTCAGCAAGCTTTGTTATCAATGCATGCGCATAGCTTCATGATCGTTATCACACTCAATTTTGTCCTAGGAGTCCCGTCTCATAATTCACAGCGGAGTGATCTCTATGAAGCATGGGACGATTCGGTGTCCATTCTCCATCAGTTACAGGAGATGTTACAGAACGGCTCTGAGCTATCTAGCGTGGCCTACCATCTACTTTGGACCGACATTGCCCGCGCAGCCTTGACTGCCTGCCTGGTGGTTGGTCGCCTGCGACGCATCAATCTGGGGATAACCGTCTCCAATGGGCCCCAACCCACGCTGGTCATCTTTCAACAGCTTTTGCTGAAATACCTAGACTCTTTATCGCAGATCCTAGCGGCAAGATACCACCTCGGACCTGTTGCAGCAAAGACGAGCCTTGTCCTTGCTGTCGCAACAACTGTTACCTCAAGCCTAGTCAATGACCTTGGTGACCCAAAACAGGATTCCACTTTCTTCCAGGTTGGCTTCAAAGCTGCCGAGGAGGTCACAGCCGAGATGGAATGTTTTCTGAAACGGGAAACCCAAGACTCAAGACTCAGCTTACTGGGACCGAACACCGCCGGGGCGTCAGCTCCACCAAATGCCACAACCCCTCTTCCGGTAAACCGGATGGATCATGCTCTTCCAGATCAGTTGATTCAGACGTTGTTTCCGAGCGAGTGCGACTTTTACCCAGGCTCAGAATCCCAGGTTCAGGATACGCTGTCCGATCTATATTCCATGGCGTTCAAACCTACTTCCCCGATCCAGTTCATGCCTGACCTCTTATGGGAAGAAATATAAATTCGAATCAGCTGGCACATGTAGAAAAAAAGAGAATAAAGACTAGGTGCCTCCGCCACGTAAAAAGAAATAACGGATTTCACAAGCGAGCTGGCCACCCAAGCGAGCCGGCCACCCCAACCAAAACGCGCCCATGAATTAGATCTTATTCAGTTCAACCACCCACCATGCCACCAGTTCGTACTCAATCCTCTCGAAATTCAATAGAGCAAGAGGGTAGGATCTTACCAGCTATCCAGGCTTTTAAGAATCAAGAAATCTCTTCAATTCGTGAGCTGGCGCGTATTTTTAGCGTACCACGTTCGACTCTCCAAGACCGCCTCCGTGGCCACCAACATCGCACGAATTCTCGCGCCAACTCCCATAAATTAACCCAGTTTGAAGAGGAAAGTCTTTAAAAATAGATAATCTCTATATATTCACGTGGAGTAGCCCCCCGGCCCTCTATAGTACGAGAAATAGCGAATCTTCTCCTTGAAAAGCGTGGAAATACCCCGGCTCTTTTAGTCGGCCAAAATTAGGACACGAACTAAATAAAACGATACCCTCTCCTTTCCTCCCGGTTCTTAAAACGATATAATTACGAGCGTACGAAATAAGAAGACCTAAAGATTATTTAGGGGTAGTTTAATCTTATTCAAAGAACTATCCTTTAATTTAGGATTAACTAAGATGATATTTATGTCAGGGTGCGGG